ATAATAATTATCAACTAATTTGATAATGTATAATTCATTGTTACTGCCTTTTTTTCTGTACTTCTCTGCAGCTTGTTGAAGACAATACCACTTCCCCCACCCCTAGTCAGGATGATGTTATATGCCTCTCCAGGGAAGCGGCTGATCTTTTTGAGCAGGAAGTTGGCATCTATGATAAAAGTGAGTGTGTAGCTGTACAGCAAGTATTCTTTCATGTTAAGTTGTGTTGCTAGTAGATCTCCTTGCCTTAGAGAGACCTGATTTAACTTAACTTGAAATGTTATGATCCACATTAACCAGTGGTGACTACATCGAGAGACATGTTTTGGTGTGTTTGTCCAATGATAGATCATACATGTAGATAACATCACCTCAGCGCAGTCATATATGTCAGTAAATTGAGTGTTTTTACCACATTACATCTTCTGTGACCAATTACTGTTCTATACGGCAACATAGAATCTGTTTGTCTTACATGATAAAAAAGCAAAATATTGTTAATGGTGACATGACAGCTGTCTTCCAATAGATCATAGTTAAGAACCAATCCAGGTGCTTGTATACTCTGGCTTATCATATAAACAACAACAGATACTTCTGTTAGTTTTACCAGTATGAGTGCCTCAGGTATTTATGACCAAAACTGAAGAGGCAGCTTTGCTACCTTATTTCTCTTTATTTGAATTATTCAGTGGGTCTAACTACTTTTTAATGGTACTTTTTAGTGAAAGTAAAAGAGAAGTCATCAGATTCACAGTGGTTAAAATCTGTTGTAAGCTCAGGAACATTGAATGACAAAGTTGCTGCACTCACTGTTCAAGTCCAGGTAGGTCTAAGAACAGCTTAAGGAAACAGCTGACCTAATCTGAACAGAGGAAAAAAAATGCAGACTAATATTAATCCTCAATTTGTTAATCAAAATCTTTCTTAATTGCTCTATATAGTCACTTGCTGCTTTCCTTATTACCAACCCAAGCAGTTTACAGGACACATACATGTATATACATGTATGACCTGCTTGTTTGCTCTTTAATACTTAGAGTGCTGTTCCTGTAAAATTTCCTACATACAGCTTTTTTTATACCACATACATGTCTCTGAATGAAGGCCAACATTAATTAGATTGTAAGCTAACAATTAGGTTGTATGCCTCTCCTGTTAATGGCGTATGATGAGTAAGAAAGATCTAAATTTTTTTTCTTATGCCTCTTGACTTATTTCACAGGAATCTGCTGTACACGGTCTTAAAACCTTAGATATATTAATTGGCATGGCTAAAAAGAAGGGTAGAAGAGAGAGTATTATAGCTGTAGGTGAGTTGCAATTTGATTTTGTGGAAACTTTATGTTTTTTTTCCTTTATTTCTAATTGCATTGTCTTGCCCATTATATGTCTTGCTATTAAAAAGTTCTAGCTTTCATTTATACCCATAAATTGGTGTAAGTGACATCGATTAGCAGTAAAATTATTATTAATAGTTGTGCATCGTGATTATGTTTTTGTAAATTACAGACATGTTGAAAGAACTTTGGATGACCCTTCTACTTCCAAATAATCGCAAGCTTAAAAAATTTGCTCAGGTTTGTTAACAATGTGACAAAAGTTAATGCAAAATGGACATAATTTCCAAATAAACCAGTTATTAACCAGTAAAGATGTGACGTGTAATTTGCACTTTGCAGTTTACTTTGATCTCAAGTGAAAACTGCTTTTATCCTTGGTTCATTCTTGATTATCTTAGCATAGCCGCTCAGGCTAAAATGACTCAGGTTCATAACATATTTATGCCTGCCAACAGAAACTATATTAAACGACTGTGAATATATGAAAGTCATATATTTGAACTGCGGATAAAGACATGAGTATGAAAGTGATCTTCACATCAGTATCACAGAGGTTATGGGTTCAAATCCCGTACAGGCCTGAATTTTTTTCGGCCTTATTTTCTCTACTGCTCATTAGTAGTGTTCATTACTGCGAAGATGGCTTTCATACTCAAGAAACTGTATTAGAATAAGAAAGATGGAGCATAGATTTTGATGGAGATTGATGTAGCACTAAAGATAGAGCATTGGAAGACGGAATGCGAAGGTCTGAGGTTGGATTCCTCATGAGGATGCAGAATTTTTCTATTTGTCCCACACTTGTGACAAGACAAAAACGTCTTTCTTTATAAACTTTATTGTTTTGTTATTATTGTTTTATTTTACATCATGATGATGTATATTTCCTCTGTGCAGCATCCACTGTTGTCATTAGTTGAGATTGTCCACAAGGGTGGTGGCTGGGATGAACGAGACAGACGTCTTATTCTGTGGTGCTTTGAGGAGCAGCTGAAACAGAGATATCAAGAGTTTGTTGAAGTTGTTGAGGTATTTGTCAATCAATAGTTTCCTCTGAAAATTGTATACTGGTATCATCCTAAAAAAAATTACATTCATAATTGTTCACAGATGAGCTAACCAAGAATTTGAGAATCAACGTTGAGATAAAACTAATTTATATGTGATCATTTTTTTTCGTAAACAATTTTTAAACAACAGAGTAAAAACACATGGAACATTGTCAATATTTTGTAGCTATGTTTTATAATTTCACAAATTATATAGAAACTGATTTTTGTTTTGAAGCACTATTAAAAGAAAGCAAGAAAAATTATAAATACACAAAAATCTTCATATATTTTTTGATAAGTGATACCCATATCTTGGATTGTTTTTCAGAAACTTCTTCAGGACACTTTGGTAAACATCAGAAGCAAAATACTGGGTAAGATAGACTTAAAGAATGCAATAACCCTTTGCAGGCTAACATCAGTATTTCATACTTCATACTCTTCTGTATATGTTTCCTTTAGTTCTGATAAGGTGAATTCATTCATCAATACAAGCTTTTCAGCTCGGTGATTATTCCTTTATCAAAAGGATAGCAATGTGCCTCAGATATCCACAGGCTTCCTCTGTGGCTACCTTGCCCACAGGCAGTATACTGCCCCCCCCCCTCCCCCCTCCCACATGGCTGTATACTATCCCCAACATGGTTGTATACTACCCTCCGCCCCAAAAACAAAAAAAACATGGTTGACAAATTTCTTTGACTCAACTGTGAGTGTCTATTTCAGAAACCTGTTGACACTGATTATATCAGTGGAATGAAGAACAATGGCTGTCTGTTAAAAGAGGCTCATCAGGAGTCTTGGTTCATTAATGTCATGATTGATTAATTGATTATAATGACAAAAATTGATTTACAGGAGCTGTGTTTGACTTATTGTCAGAGAAACCAGAACAGGAACAAGTGAGTTACAATGTACTTGAATGATTCCCACCACATATGAATTGAATGTAATATCATTTTGCAAATCAAGCTAGGTATAACTATTTTTAATTGGGATGTTGCCAGTCTTTGCGTGAGTAGAATCTTCTTCTTCTTCTTCTTCTTCTTCTTCTTGTAATGTTATTATTATAATTACTATTATAACTGATAATTTGGAGTGATGCTATTTTTATCATCATCATTTTTGGTTCTTTGGCAAAAAGAGTTTGAATAGATATCATGTTCTAGCAGATTATTTGTCCATCAAGTGCTAGTTTTATTGTCATTAATCAATATGTTATTAACTTTATTTGTGTATTTTCTATTGTTGCAGGTTTTGTTAAGTTTACTGATAAACAAGATAGGAGATCCTGACAGGAAAATAGCATCAAAAGCAGTTTATCTGTCAAGATCATTAGGTGAGGGGTCGGTTTTATAGGTTTCACAGTCAAGCAAATTTTAGCCTTTTCTGCATTAGTAACAGGGAACAAAAATACTGTTAGGAGTCAAATTAGCTGCCAGTCACTCTTAGAGATTAAAGGGGTAACCACCCACTTAGAGTGTTCATTCTAAGCGTTGGAGATTAGGCAATTTTTGTGGTCGCTAAGCAAAACTAAGCAGCTTTCCCATGCTAGTTTTCCTTCATTTGTGGAGCCATTTAATTTGGTAGTTTTCCTCCTTTTTTTGTCTAATTCTCTGGCTATTTGTACGTCTTGTATCCTTTCTTGATGTAAACTATGCTTATTAACTCACTATCTTGAATTATGCTTTGCATGAACTAATAGTTTATACATTAAACTTTGTCATTGCTTCGCTTCTTTTCCTCCAGTAACTAAACATCCAAATATGAAATTAGTGGTCACCAAGGAGATCGAAAAACTTCTCTACCGACCCAACATTGCCATTAAAGCTCAGTAAGTACTGTTCATGTAGTGTTAGAGTTCTAATGCATATAACTTGCTTTAGAGTGCCTTTTAATCGATTGTCGTAGAACCAGAACCAAAGTAATTGCAACAGCCTTTCTTGACAAGGGGTGATATCGCAAGGAGCCGTTAGTTCCAGATATAAAAACAAACAAACTGTTTGACTTGTCACCTCCTGCAACTAGTCTCAGTTTGCTTTTTTTTTGCAGATATTTTTCAGTGTGTTTTCTCAATCAGTTAATCCTTACCAAACAAGATGGTGAACTTGCCACCAGACTTATATCCATATATTTTTCATTCTTTCGGGTAAGTTAATTCTCTGAACGTACACTTTACAGGGTAACATTCACTGATAATGTGTAGCTCAGTCTAGTTGTTTCTAATATTGTAGGCAGCATTTTTCATTACTCTGATCCTTCCAAACCATTTCTGTGGAATTAATTGGATACGCTATACTGTAACGAAAGAAACTTACGAATTGTAAAGATCTTTGGATGCGCATTTTCTGATTGTTTGGGTTTCCATCGCCTGACAGGTACTCAGGGGTTTCACCCAGACCTCTCACCGCCGTCTATTTAGCCAGAGAACTGGCTCTGGTGTGTGGGTTTTGCCTCACAGCATAGCCGACATTACGCCATCGGCAGCCGCTTAAGGAAAGAGTTATTGAAACCCCTGGACCGTACTAATAATTTTTTCTACGACCTGCGTTCGCCACTAGAATCAATCTTGTATGAGTTACTCAGTTTGAACCTAAAAACCTTCAAATGTGGCTTTGGTAGTGTAAATGAAGGCCATTCATTTCTAACTCTTCCTGCCTTTAAGCCGCCGCCGCCCCCCCCCTCTTTGGAAATGCCTTGAGCTGTGTAATGCCCCACTGACAAGTTGCAAATATATGCATGTTAGCTGTTGCCAAATCCTAGTAGCCTAACTGTACGAATTATCATCGTTGTCTACCTTTTTCGACAGGCTTTTTTAACAAAGGGTGAATTAGAAGCAAAAATGTTGAGTGCTCTTCTTACTGGAGTAAACAGAGCGTTTCCATATGCAAAAGGTATAAAACAGCAGAGAATTATTGAATTATTGTTATGGCTTAGTAATAAAAGTGTAAGTAAGTGTGGATTTCTTGATGTATATGGTAGAAGTATCGAAAGTCTGTTACAACACTCACCACTTTGTTTGGGAACAGACACAGTGTAGGCATTGTTGGTAGAGAAAAAGGTGCATTTAGATTCAGTTTCGGGGTCAAAGATTGAACACAATAGACCTCGCAACACCAGAATTAACGCGTGTATGAAGGCAGGTTCACACATGCACAGTCTGTGAGCCTATTTTAAAGATGGCGATTTCTTCTCCTTTGCAGAAGAGGACGAACAGTATAATGAACAAATAAACACTCTGTTCCGAACAGTGCATATTGGAACATTTAACACGAGTGTACAGGTGAGTGTTCATGGAAAAAACACTCTGATTTGTTTGTTTTGATATCCTCATAATCCTACTGCATGCATGCGATGACGAAAATTTGTCGATAAATGCGGTATGAAACGATAACGTGCGAACCGTACGGAAAGCTTTTTATTTTCTGGTAATTTTCGTTCTATTGCCGAAATCAATTCGTAATTCCATAGGTTTTACTTTTACCTGCTCGATGAATAACAGAGGAGCAATTTTTCAATGCCATTGATCAGAGTAGCCCGTGTGCACATACGAGTTTTTCTTAAATTATTATTCATTTCACAGGCTCTGATGTTACTTTACCAAGTCATGGAATCAAGGTATTAACATGTAACACTTATTGTATTTGTTTGTTTGTTATGGAATCGTTAACAAGTACGCGTTGCTACTTGGAAGCTCTGTCCACGTACAGTGCATGGGAATGAAAATTGCTTTTGACTATATGATCTGCGATGTGAATTTACGCAACAGCTACAGTTTTAAAATTTAATGAATCCCTCTGCAGTTGGTCCCGCTGACTGCCTGGACAATTCAAATAAGTGGATTTTCATAAGTTTTAGTATTGTTTGCTTAAAATAATTGTTTTTCTTTTCGTAGGCAGTCCGTGTCAGATCGCTTTTATTCCGCCCTTTATGCTAAACTCCTGGATCCAAATCTGAAAACATCTGGTAAACAGGTGAGCATGTTTCATAGTATGGTAACACTTCCTCTACAGTGGTGCTTGCTAATAAAAACAGGTTGATATTGAATTAGAGCATGAATTTCGCCTCCCGTGCTAGTGAAGGGTTTTTTGGAAGTATTGTTGGTTTGGGTAGGAGCTCGGATGAAATAACGAGGTTTGTCACCTCAGGAACATGGGATCTACTCAGCAGGTTGAGTTTTTGTGTGCTTGAGAGTTTCACAGAAAAGATCGCTTTTCGATTGGGTGTCGTTAAACCAAAACCAAAGAAATCACAACAGCTAAACAAAAGAAAGGAAAGAACATTTAAAAACCAATGAAAGCTCAAAGTAAAAACAACCAAACTGCTTGAAAGGCGGGAAAACGGCAGCGACCGAAAGTGGCGCGAGTTTTTTGGACCAATCAGAAAAGTTAAGAAAATACAAAGCAATCCCGGATGACTTTGATTTTCTTTTTCGTACAAATACAATGATAAACTAGGTCTGGACGAAGCCGTGAAAATACGTTGTGGTTACTTCGCAGTTTTCTGTTATTTGATTACGCAATTGTTCTTCAACAAAACCAATCAAGAAGCGGACATGGAAGAGCTTAACTTAGCGCACCATGATTAATGAAACTTGTTTTTCCTTTCTTGCTTCTAAAGGCCGTGTTCTTGAATATTTTGTACAAGTCCGTTAAAAGTGACCCTTCATTGCATCGTGTTAAGGTAAGGGTGTGTTGTCTGAGTATAAATGATTCGAGAAAGAGAAACGACTTCATGTTTTTCACGATGCTAGATCTTTTTATCGTTGACGGTGCGTCTGGTTTTGTGCCGGACACAGGCTGTGTGTTCAGCATCAATAACAATCTGTGCAATTACGCTCCTATAACCTGCTCCTTTGACAAACAAATGTACAAGCAAACAAAAAAACCAATGCAAAACAAACAAACAAAAAAATACAATGAATAAGATGAAACAAAGCAAACAAAAAACAAATAAAAGAAAGAGAACAGATACTACACAAATAAATGCTTATAATAAATAAATAAATGCTCATAAAGCCAGGTTTCATATGGAGGTTTCTACATGGCGATGTTGTTGCTGTTATTGATAAGGGTGTTAACACTATTTTTATCTGTTATAAAGTTTTAGAATTTTGCCAGCCAGTATGTAAACGCGTCTCTTTGTTTTCTAGGCGTTTGTAAAACGTATCGTACAAGTTTGCAGTTTCCAACAGCCATCATTCGTCTGTGGAGCGCTATTTATGATTTCCGAGGTGAGTTATTCATTTTGCACTCACACTCACACACAAAAAGTGCAAATAACGTTTGCATGGCCGGGAGCGGGGACGTTGTACTGGGAGCTACGCTTATGCTCGGAGTGACTGGGACAGAGTGCAAAATAGGGATTTTGGTCCCAGTGGAAGTGTAAATAACGAAACAACAGAATTTTCAGCGTAGCATTTATGATTTCTGTCTAAAAGCAAAAGCAAATAGAGGAGTGTAATAGGATAACTTCCTTTTCATGTATATCGGCTCCCAGTCTTTCTTTATGACGATACTTTGGTTTTCTTTTTCTCACTTTAATTTCAATATGCTATTGTAATATCTGGATGGTGGAATTTATTTCCCTACCAATATGAGGAAGCGACGATATTTGTTTATTTTGGCTCATTCTCAGTGTTCTCCCTTATTTTAAGTACGACAGGTAGATTAAATTTTTAAAACTGTCGAGCGATCCTTTTACTTGTTGAATTTTCGAGAATTCCAAGCCATTAAAGGCGGAAGTAAGGGGTACTGCGGTCCTTCGGTTACTGCATGAGAAAGAGAACACTAATAATGCCTCTAACTGTTTACTTTCCAATCATTTTTTTTTTCTTCCAAGCTCCCTTAGTTTTCTAGCCCTACTGGTCGCCTGTGATAATGTGATTTTAAGTTTAAAGGGAACCGAAGCCCAAAACTCTGATTTTAGTCGCATCCATTTCTAGTTAGCTTTAGAGGAATGATATATAGTCTCGGTATTCATTTTCGTTCACTTCTTGTTCTTCGCGAGAAAACTAGGTTTGAAGTTCCCTTTTTCCCGCTGTAAAACCGTCGGCGCTCAAAACGATTATCAGCGGTTGAACGTCAGTGGTGGGGTAATGAAACACCTCTCTCACCTATAAATGGCCGCATATCAGCGCATATTATGATAAATTTTATGTTTATCGGTTTTTATGTCGCAAATATGAGTGGTGTGTAGCCCTTCCAGTTTGAGCCGAAGCGAAGAATCGAATCGGTAGAAGACATAAGTCTTTGCAGCGGATGGCTCACTAGCGAAACTGGTCTCGGGATTGCGTAGAGCCCTGCTGAGTTTTGCCATAGATCTCTCGCCCGCAGACTACTGAGCTGATCACATTTGCAACTATCTTCCATAAATGAACGCATCGAATTTTTAGATGATCACTCGGGAAAAGAATAGAACGTGGACGACTATTTAAAACCAATTATGCGAAGTTAAAAGAATGACTGAATAAACAACACAGACACACTCATGGATCGATTTTTGACATCCACAACCAATCCAAACTCAAGTTGAAGCCAAACATTTCCGTAAGAATTTCATCCCCATAAGAAGTCACACAACTTCGGCAAACACCAGTGGCGTAATATCAACTGCTGATATCGATTTTCTGAGCCGCGGTGCTAATGGGTCAAAACACAGTATGAAACAATTTTTTCAAGGCAAAGTTAAACCCCCCCCCTCCAAAAAAAATTAATTTGAAAAATGAAAAAACGCTCGAACATTGACATAAATTGCTATAAGCAGCTAATGTTTCAATTTTAGGCTTCAGTTCCCTCTAAGGTGCTTGTTTCATTTTAGCTTACAAAGCTGAAGCCAGGAATCAAGAGCCTAACACAGCAACCAGAGGTGGGTAGTTTCTTTGTCTCAGCGCTTTATGCTAGTCTTGTACAATTAAGTCTTTACACCCAAACATAAGCATGCAAATTCTTTTACTGTTCTGTGAACACTTCCTCGGCGGCTGACAAGGAGAATTTGTTTAACAATCGAGAGGCTCTAGAGTGGTGGTCATTTTCTTTCATCTCTTGACCTCAATGTTTGATTTAGGAGAGACAGTATAGATAGAAAATAGACGCTAGTCACTCTTAGGGGTTCAAGAGTCAAGAGAGGCACAATGGCGTTAAAATGCTGTAGTTTTAATAAACTCTTGGTTCACATTATCGGAGAAAAAAATTTCGGCAATCGGAAATTGATCATATAATTTACTAAAATGTTTTAGCAAACTGAAAACCACAAAAAGATCGAGATAGCCGAAAATGGTACAGTTCAGAATGCATCTAAGAGCCAAATAAATTAAAAAAAAAAATAAAAAGTGGCCTCGGACTATATACACATTATCGTGTACCAGTGTAACATAACTTTGTTATTACAATCATCAAAGTTGACGAGATCATTTTGGAAACTGTTCGTGTGGAGAACAAACTCCGTGTGGATTCCAAATGAAACATTCTACAGATGAGTGGGCATTGTCTCGGTTCTGGTCGCGTCCCGTCCCGTCCCGTCAGCCTGCTTCGATTAACTTTGCATATCAGTTTTGAAACCTTGATGTCTCGAAACACTCAGGTTGTTCCCCCCGCGTGAAATGTCTCCAACTGGCATCAACGAGAGCAAAACATCTTGAGATTGGTAGTGTCGCAATAAAATCATATTTTTCGTGCTGTTTTGATTCTACTGCACCCTTGACAGTCTAGTCATGGTAATTTTATCCCTCAGTTGTAGTTGTTTTTGCATGGCACTTAACGAACAAATTTTCATATCACATCAAATCATCTTTTCACCAAAGAAAAGGAATCTAACTTTAGAATTTCGGCCCTCCTTTATCTAAATTTTCCTAGGAGTTAGTTGAAAGGATTAGATTTTCGTAGAACCAAAATGTTACATTCACGGGTGTTGCCCCCTAGAACCGTTAATCATCGACTGTCTAAATATAACTCTTCCCTTCTTTTATTTGTTAATAGCTGAAACAAACTAGGGTCTTCAAGGAACCAAGAAAACAACTTTTATTTTTTTTTCACATAATTCACAGGCCCCATTTTGGTCTGATGAACTTCCCTAATCAGATATCAGGTGTTCGAAGCTCCTGCCTCGAGAGGAGCGAGAGGGCGAAAAGTCTTAAATTATCAAAGCGTGACGCTATTGTCTTTCCAAATAAAGCGCGGTTTTTTTTTGTTTTTCTTTGTCCCACGCTCGTGACAAGACGAAAAGAAATCTTTCACTAAAGCGTTGTTGAGTTACCCAATAACCGCTGAGTACTTGCTGAGGGTCTCAACGAATATCGTGGCCCTTCATACGGCGTATTAACATTTTCCGCTCAGGATAAGCTAAGCTCGCTCACCTTGTGGGTGTATTTCATGGTTTTTGGTAATCTACGCCGGCTTAAGCCTTCTTTACCACACAAGTCGTATTCCCTTCACAAGACGACTTAAAACCGTTGCAACAGTTAACTTAAAACCAACTCAGTTTCCAAACCGACTGATGTTTATTTTAGCTTCTTCATGATGTTTGCTCGAATAGTTGTTTGGTTGTTTTGTGTTGACCAACTCGCCGCCTTGAAGGAATTTAAGAGAGCTTTTCAAGCTGGTGATGCCATGCTTGGCGGACTCACAGTGTTACATTACAAGGATTCGAACGACAAATGCGGTTTAGGCTTCTTTCCTGTTGGTCTCGGTCACGCTGAAGCTATGATCTTCACGATCGAACAGATCAACAATGACCCTTCATTGCTTCCGAATGTTACTCTCGGCTTCGACATCCGTGACTACTGCGAAACTGTGTCTGTTGCCGTTAAAGAAACATACGACTTCGTGCGAGATGCAGATTTGTATCATATGTATACGAACAGAAATTTCAGCATGGATAACGAAACAGCTTTGTGCTACAGCAGAGATGCTGTTGCTCCTGTTTCTACGATTCTTGGGCCGTACGACTCGGCGAGCGCTGTTCAGATTGCAAGTCTTCTCAGCATGGCCAAAATCCCAATAATAAGCTTTGCTGCAACAAGCGACGAGCTTAGTTCCAATCAATATCCATACTTCTTAAGAACAGTTCCGCCTGACAGACAACAAGCGAGAGTGCAAGCAGATCTGTTTGAATACTTCAAATGGACGTATATTGGTACGGTAGCTCTGGATGATTCTTACGGGCGGTTTGGCGTCTCTGCGTTACAGAAAGAGGCGTATAATCGAGGAACCTTTTGCTTGGCCTTTTCAGAGTTTATTCCGCGTCTTCGTGCTGCTACTGATATGTGGCAGATTGTGTCACGCATTAAACAGCAGAGCAGTGTCAAAGTCATCGTGGTGTGGGTCTTCGGTGGATATGCCAAGCTTTTCTTCGAAGAAGTTCACAGGCAGAAGCTCGGGCGACGGACCTGGATTCTCGGTGATGGAACGAGCACGGAGGATAGCGGGCTGCTTGGACCGTTATTTCGTCTACTGGACGGCGCCATTGGCGTTCAGCCACGCGATCGCAAAGGTGAAACTTTCCTGAATCACTTGTATTCCTTAACGCCGAATAAAACTCGTTTAGGAAGGAATCCGTGGTGGGATGAATACTGGAAAAAATTTCGGAGTTGTACCCTTGACGCAGACAGCGCAGCCGACCCAAGGTGCTCTAATGTACCGTTGTCACACAATGAAGTTTCCAAATTGTTCGATCCTTACCTTGGCTACCTTATAGACGCCATATTTGGCGTGGCATTCGCCTTAGACAAGCAATTCAGGTGTCGCGCTTCAGACCGAGAGCCTCCGGGGAAAGCATGCTCCGATAGAAAGGATCTGTTGTCCCACTTGAAAAATGTCAGTTTTCTAGGACTCACTGGCGTCGTAGAATTTGACCGCGAAGGTGATCCCAAGAATTCGTTCTTTGAAATTGTGAACATCCAAATAAATAGCAAGGGAATTGCAAAGAAGGCCCTGGTAGGATTTTGGAATAGTGTTAAGAAGCCAAGGTTGTCACTGAACGACTCTGCGATCAAATGGGCAAACGCCACTTTTGCTACAACGGTACAGTCTTCATTCTGCAGTCAAGTGTGTCCCCCCGGAACTAGGCAAGAGGTGACCACTTCATGTTGTTGGAAGTGCGTTACATGTCCGGGGGGCACAGTCAGCAAGTCACCTGGATCTACCAACTGCACGGAGTGCTCGCATAAACAAAAGCCGAACGACGATAAAACGAAATGCGAGGATCTGCCAGTGAAAAACCTTCACTTCAGAGATGCAGCTGGTGTATTCCTTTCT